GCTATTTTTTGTGATTATGATAATTCTGTTTGTCTTGGGGCATTTACTTTTTGTGTATTTGCACAGAACCATTTTGAAATGTGATTTAGGAAAATTCAAAGTTTTGCCAATTAGAGGGTGATTGTATTAAGGGATTTTTAAAAATAAGCAGCTCTTTAGGGGTTAAATGAATACAAACTATTTACATAACAGGGCAAGGAAAAGAAAGTTAACACATTACAAGTTACTGAAATCATGTCTGTATGTCAGTAGGAAAGCAGAATTCAATAAATAAAAATTTTACTTATGGAGCTTTTTCTAGGAATAAAAGTTTATCACGTAAAGAGAAGAATTCCCGTAGACTCTACACTGCAGTAAGGGGCTCCTTTGTAGATTGACGGTATCTCTAAGTCCCCAATTCTTGGTCCTAAAGTGACCGAGCAATAGGGAGCTCTGAGAACAGCTTTCAGGATAGCCCCACAACAGCCTTCAACTATCTTCTGTCAAGGGTACAGCAGTTCCATAATTACCCATAATAATAGCAAGTAATATACTTTAAAACCCTGTTGGTATGTGGCTGGGAGAAAAACAGCCCTCCAAAGAAAAAGTAACTATTCATTCCCCTATGGTGTAAATCATAGCTATGTGTATAGTGAAATTTCTTATTTGCATTTCATAAACAATTCACCAAACTTCTAATTCACTCATTACTTACCCATTACGGGTTTTTTAAATGGCACTTTTAAACTTTGCTTTGGCTCAGGGTGAATTTTGTGCCTAGAATTCATTCCTGGAGTCCTGACTCCCCTAGGCCTTCTGTACCTTTTGCAAATTCACAGCTCATTTTGTGGGAGGCAGTGTGTGTATATGTGGGGGCAGTCTTAGGCTATCCTAAATGGGGGAATGTTTTATAGGTAAGGTCCTATCACCCAAACAAGAGTAAAGAATAGCCAGTAATGGTATCAGCAAAAATGAGGTTATCTCCTTGCAGTTATGCATATACTTGGATCATCTATTGATATACATGGAATAAACGTGTATACCAAAAATTAATTGAATGTTTGGACATCAGGAGGCACAAACACCTTTTACCTTTACATGAAAAGGTAAAAGTGAGGCAAAGCTGCTTTTGAGGATAAAATAAACCTTGGACTCTGATACATCATAAATGTTGGATACAGATGAGCAGAGAAATGTTTTGTGTACATGCTCCGTAAAAAAAAAATGTGATCTTCATGAACATTAGGGCCAGGCATGTGGCTTGTGCCTGTAATCCCAGCACTTTGGGAGGCGAAGGTGGGAGGATTGCTTGAGCTCAGGCGTTCAGGACCAGCCTGGGCACCATAGTGAGACATCGTCTCTACAAAAAATAAAACTAGCTAGGTATGGTGGTGCACAGCTGTAGGCCGAACTACTCAGTAGGCTGAGGCAGGAGGATCACTTGAGCCCAGGAGGTCATGGCTGCAGTGAGCTATGATTGTACCGTGGCACTCTAGCCTGAGTGACTCAACACAAAAAAAGACCCACATGATTTTATGAGAAGAACTGGAGGTTCGGGTGAGGCAGGGTAGTTACAGGCATTTACTAGTTTCAGGATGGCAATGAAAATTCTCCTTGCCACCTAATCTCCCAACTCCCCTGCAAGTCCTTGCTTTGAAATCTCTTCCAAATTAGTCCCTATAGCTCAAGAGCAAAGGTGAGGGGCATGATTGCAGACCTGAAACACACAATTCCTCATAAAATTACAGTAGTTTCTAGGTTAATACAGATTTTGAGCTAGAAGAGCTCATAGTCACCATTTAGTTCTTGCTTCATCCTAATACATAAATTTTACAGTTGTGACAATTGGGTTCCCAGTGAATAAATGACTGGCCCAAGATCACATAGCCAATTAATGGTGGGCTGAAGGGTAAAAACGCCTATTTTCAGCTCTGTCTCCAGGTCTTTTTGACACTGCTCAACAATGCATGTACTCAGAAGGGATAAGAGAAAGGACTGGGATGCTTCACTGAAAGATGAGTCCTGATACCAGGGACAGCACGACGGATGACTGGGTCACAGACTGCAAGTCTAGAAAGTTGCACTTTCAGATTTGTGCCTGGGCACAGAAGTTTCCTCTTTTGCTTAAGACTGGCTTGAATGTCAAGGAAAATAGAATGCCGTTAATATACCATCACACAGTAGATTGCTCTTCCAAAGATACACTTAATCTCCAGGTAAACCATATTCCTCAGTGACATACTGTTTGTTCTACTCAACCACACAGTTGTGCCCTGACACTAGTTTAATGATAAGGTTGTTGCCCACTCACAAGGCACAGAACTTTGGACATTTTTATGTGGTCGTTTGTGTGTTTAGAGATTATTCTCGATTTTATGAGGGGAAGTTATCTTGCTATGAAGATGCATTCATATCAATTTTGCATCAAGCTAATGTGTACTCATGAAAACTATCCTAAGCAGGAAAAGTAAATATTCTCTACCACCAAAATTAACCTCAAGTGGCCTTCATAGTTTTCAACACTTGCATTTCATTTGGAAGTAGAATTTAAACACTATTTTCCATGAAGCCTGTCCCTTTAAAAATGCTACTATTGTTAATTTTGCCAATGATTTTGAGCACTTAGTTGGCCTTCAGATATATTTAAAAATTGAGTTAATTTTTTCTGATGGGATCCCAAACTAGTTTTTTTCCTTGTAATGACACATGATCAGGTTTTTATTTGGTTATTTTTTAGGATGCCCTTGTTAATGATGTTTTGTTACCTCCTGACTTTTAGTGTTGTTGGGATATATTGGTTTTCTGGGGAAAATATAATTGAAACTATAATATCAAATATCATTAGTGGATGTCAAAACAAAGCAATTGTGTTTTTTTAAATTTAATTGCTTATTTTACCAAAGTGAATGTGTGATTATAACAGCTAAGAAGCTAAAGTCTTTAGCAGATAGAGAACAATTTAACAAAGTTCTCACTTCAGGATTTCAAGAAAACCCTGGATATTAATCAGTTTAACTGGTTTGGCATTAATACACATAACGTGCTGATATTTCTTAACATTTTCCTAACTATGCTGCTGCCTCCAAAAAAAATTTTATTAGCCATCATCAACTTAGAGATGTTGTTTTAGGGTGGAAATCTTGGCAATCCATCCTCACAGAGCATGGCTGGAATGAAGGGTCCCCTGAAACTGCTAAATGAGAAGAACTGAAAAGGGTCTTGTGAAGTCATGACCCTGTAAAGGTGTTGGTTTACAGAGTGTGAAGGAGGCAATTCAACAGCTGCACCCAGGAAGCAATGCCGCAAACACCCATGGCTGGGAATCACAGATACTGTCATTTTAAAGGACTTCTGGATACCACCTCTATGACAGACTCACAATTTCTTTGGTCTAATTTTGCGATATAAACTCCTTAATTTGGAATATGGTTCGGTATTTCAACAGAAGATTATTAAAATGAAAAGCAACTCATTGCCTTCTCTGTTAGTCTTTTGTTGTAGACCATTTTTAGGGCCCTAAAGACAAATACATTAAGGACTGTGCTCAAAATCTGAGGTGCAAATTCTAAAGCAAAAGCTATGCGTTCCAGGCCCATGGCTGGATGTCCCAGCCTTAAGGCATGTAGACCTGGAGAGCACACTGGCCAGCTCCCATGCGGGTATAAGAACAGCATTTTCGTATGAGAATTGATCCCAGAGAAACTTATTTTAGCTTACTTTACAAGGCTAAATAAGCGATTGCAGGGCAAGAGCAATGAGTTGAGTGCCAAGATTTTTAGGATTTTCTTCATGCTATTATCAACGACCTATTTTCTCAACAATGGTACTTTTCTCTGTTTCAGTTTATCTATTTAATGGATATATTCAGTTTAATTCCCATGTTCCCAAAGAGGTAATGATGGGAAGATGTGTTGATAAACGGTTTTAAAGTTCTTTAACTTCCTTGGAAAGAAAGAAGGCCTTTTTCTTTTTCTAGTTCTCTGACAAAATACTTGGAGACTCAATACTATGTCAAAAATCTCAATTTTGATCCTCTTACTAGTGTTTTAAGGTGAAATATTAGACTAGGTTGTAATGTGTCTATAAATATGTATATATTTTTGATTACAAAGTGAAGAATACTCAATGATGTCAGGCCTCAATTGTTAGTAAAGTGTAGGTGCTAAAATTACACATATCATTTTCCTTACACTGAGGAATCTTTTTGCCTCCTTTTACTGTTTTGAACGCCATTCATATACATCTGTTCCACAGGAGTAGTAGCTGTTTGAAGTTTAAATCCATGACATCCTTTACAGAACAGTGGCAATATGATTGCAAAATCATCAAGCAGAAATGCTTTTTTTCTGATATAGAGGGGCAAATTCAATTTCTTCAAGGGAAATGAACATACACAGACACATGCACGCGCGCGCGCACATACACACACACATACGCACGCCCGTCTACAGAGTTGAGGTTTTTCTTCTACTCCCAGCTAATAAAATCAGGGGCTGCAATGGGGCTGAGCGGCACACAGTTTGATGTCCGCAGCAGGATACGGGGAGTCAGAAGTGGCGCTGTAAATCCAATGCGGGGTTTCCACACTGTGTGAAGTGTGGCCCGAGTCACAGAGATTTTCCTTTGATGCAAGTTCAGTATATTAATGGGAAAAGCATTCACTTTTATTTGTCTATACTGTCTGCGACAGCAAGGCTGCCTCATTTAGCCTGGGCCAACATGAAAATACACAGAGAAGCAATCTGTTGCAAATTAGCACAACTCTCCTTTCATTTACTAGCTAGTAATTGGAAGGGGTTAAGAAAGTGTAACTTATCAGATCATGTGAGCCTATCTGCCTGTGGGGACAGCAAGCTTTCCCTGATTTTCCCTACGATCCCTGAGGCAAAAGTCCTTCCCTGATGACCACTTGATCCACAAGAAAACATCAACACGTGTGAAATAGACATACTTTGTTAGGTTTAAGAGTGCAGTTTCCTAGACTCCTGAAGGAGGCATTAACATTTTTATTTGAACCTTACCTTTCTTTAGATATGTTTTTACTCTCCCGTTTCCAAATTGTCTTGAAGTCACTGCAGAACTCGTACCACACCATAAACACGTAGCTGGGTGTGATCTCCTTCTCGCCAGACTTTGGCTTCATCCCAAAATATCCTACTGTTGTTTCAAAACTGCAACAGGTAGAGGGGCAGATGGAATGAGGCAGTGGGTGAGAAATTGTCAATACCAAAACCTGTTAGAGAGGGGACACTGGGGACAGTTTCCTGTGGGTTTGTTCTCTAACACAGAAGCTGGGGCTCATAGTTACTGAAGTTTATTCTAAGCCTCAGAAAATGTACTTGCCCAAACCGATTTGCCAAGAAATGCAACCTGATTGGGATGTTCCTAGGCACATCTTATCTGTATAAAATCAGCATGTATAATTTCTGGGGTTGTGCAGGTAAAATTTCTTGAGTTTCTTCTTCATCCCAGATCCATGTGTCTTCCCTGCTCTTCATTTTATGTTTAGTGATTACATGAAAGACTGATGAAACACTGTAATATTAACAGTGGTCAGTTTGACAGCTCATTGTAAATAATTAACCTGTCAAATGTTTCACATAAAAGCAAGAAAATCCATTCTATCCTTATTCTGGCATATCCTGGCTTTGTAATCTTGGGTCAGTCACTCAGCATCTTTGACTTTCAATTTTCTCAAGAGTAAAATAAGAGATGTAGATGATACGATCTTTAAGAGGGCTACCTTTTAAAGCTTAATATGATACAAGAATACAAACCACAAATGTACAAAAATAGATACAGTTGTGGGCATGGCAGGTTTTGGATGAAAAACCATTTTTGATCTTGAAAAATGATGTCCAATCTCGTCAGAAAAGAACCCCAGTTTTCCAGAGTGAACTCCAAGATAGCAATAAGAACCTACCTCAGCAAGGCTCTCTGCACACCAGACTACCTGGGCCTCCCAAGCAGCCCTTCTTGGAGGCACTAGCTTTGCAGCAATTTATAGCTTTGAACTAATCTTTCCCCCTCACCCCCACCTACCCCAAGCCTCACAAGCTCATTTGCCATGAGCAAGAACACTTAAATAAATGGCCCCCTTTTCCAGGGTGTTGGAAACTAATCAAAGCAGGAATGGCTGGCCAGGTTTATTACTCAATGCTCTATCATCTGTTCAGACACAGCGGTTTTTTTTTTTTTTTGGGGCCATCCTGAATGCTGATTTTCTAATGGAACTATATTCAATGGCAATTGTAAAACCCTGAAGCCCTGTTACTATTATGGAGCATACTTTCATCTCGTTCTCAGTTATTGGGCAATATGTATCTCATAAGATTTTATCACATTTCACAGATGAACTGTTAATTGATTCCATGGCTACGATTAGGCGAGATCCAAGCTGGAACTGCAGCTCTGAGTCCCATAAATTCTTTGTGCTTCTGTAAAGAATAAATCTGTTTTTAATGCAAATTAAAACTACTGGTCAGGGAATTTTGGCTCCCAGTTATTAAAAGACTGGAAGTGCATAAGTGGAGAAAGGCAATAACTGCAGTAATCTCTCACGGGACTCTATTATAATTCCAAACACACATAATGGGAAGCACAACCAGTAAGGGAAGAAAGTGCCAACGTCCACTCTTGCCCCAGACATAACCCTTAACTCCATGGCAGTCCAAATAGTGGTAAAACCAAAGGTATACTCTGTAGCATGCAACTTTCATTCAAATGAAAATTACTTTGATCATAGCATGGGAATACATAAGTAGAGAGTTATATGGCCTATAGAAACAGGCCATGCATTTCCTATAAAGTCACAGGACTTCAGATTGGGAAAGAATTTACAGGATGACTTGCTAAATTATCATTTTACAGATGTCAAAACAGAGGCCTGGAAAGAGTGCGTGACCTTATTCACTGATGGGGTTGGGCCTAGAACTCAGATCCCCTGATTTTTTTGTGAAATGTTCTGTCTGCTCTATCTTTCTGTTGCTCATGCTGGGTAACACAGGCATTTAAGAGACAAAATAGTTTTTCTCTCCCACCCTTTAGAGACAGCTGTCCTCTGTATCACACATAACATGCATTACCCCAGGGAGGGCACATGATTATTTTCTCTTTCTTATGTACACATTCTATACAGATACATATTCATTTGAGCATTCATGGGGAAGGGAAAGTTGCATTTCTAGTATTTAGAGGAATGACTTATCTTCCAATTTTCCAGCAGAACACAGTGGTTCTGGATCACCTGACACCTCTAGCCTTACCTGGAGTCTAGATTGTGAGATCAACATATTGTAAATCCTGGTGTAGTTTCAGAGAATGACAGCGTGATTTGGTGGTTGTCGCAGGTCCTGAGAAAAGCATGTCATTTTCCTGAGGCCTCGATTTTCCCAACTCTAAACTGAAGCTAACCTTTGCCATCCTTGCCTCTCTCTCCAGGGATTTGTGAGGTCCTGCTTGCTTACTCTTCCTGAAAGGGTGGGGAACACTAAGAGAAATACTAAATTTTAGCATTTACTTTTTTCTATGTGTTTTGGAAACTAAAAAAGCAAGTGAACCTCTTTAGAAGAACCAAAGCAAACAGAGTCCCAGAGGATGGCCTGGCTTTGGCACTCAGCAGTTTTTAAAACACAAATTCACTTCCAGTATGTGCCTTACTTGATTGCATTGTTATCTCATTGTTTAAGAAAAAGCTAAAAGCTAGAGTATGAACCTACAGTGATCTGCTAAGGTCTAGACTGTTATCTTTCCTACACAAAACTCCACTTTTAAATTCAGTTTTGATTCACAGAAGGCTGATCATTGAAAATCTTTTGCAATTTGGGCAAGAAGATTGGTGATATTTAACAACCAGGAGAATTTTCTCCAATATACAGGAAACAAAGGTCAATGATGCGATTTGAAATTTCTATTTGTCAGCTGATAGCTCTAAAATGGCTCTCAACTTTTAAAAGATTGATTTCTAATCATATTTTGTTTTACGTAACTTTTTTATGTCACTGCAAACTATTCTCTGACCCCTTTTGTCTCTGCTATAATTTCCTGTCTGATTTGTATCTTTTTAATTCGGCCAAACATTTATAAAGTGCAGACAATGATTACATCAAAGATCTCATAGCAAAGTGAACTGTTTTACTTTTACAGTGCTGAGATGCCAAAGCGGAACACATCCACTTATTGTCTTACATGCATGCCCTTCAGAAACTGCTTAGGAAAAGCAAATACTCCTTACCCTCAGAGTAAATTGTTTCTCTTGAGAATAAAACATAAGAATTTACTAGATCTCGCACAAATATTGCAACACTGACCACAACCTCCTTAAAGAGTGTAACCAAACAACTGTGGTTTCTACATTACAGATGGGATATAACATATTTCATGTATGACATGAAAGCTAGACTACCTTCACCACAAAGCCACGGAAAGGACTGACAACTAAAATTTATGACTGCCCTCTGCATAGCTAATGCATGGCAGCAGCTTCGGCTCCTCTACGGTGGGTCCCCTTTTCCTTCAGCAAGAATCTTGAAAAATTATTAGAAATTTGACGTCCATCCTGGAAACTGAATTTGTTTGGCCTGACACCAATGTGCCCTTTTTGATAATCTCTTCTCTATGTGCTGCATATTTTTTCTATAACACATGCATGCTAGTTTTATGCATTGGGGAGGGAAGCTTAATACAGGAATAAGGTCAGTAGAGAGAGACAAACTCCTAAAAGCATAACCATGGAGTTATCTCAGTTTTGAATGATTATTATGCTAAAATAAGCATGATTTAAGAACATGTCTGTACTTAGCAAAGTGCAAGACTTGCCTTCACTTTGGTTTCACCAGCATTTTAATCTTATTGGTAATTATAGCAGGAAGCACGGCAAGATGCTGGCACCTGTGAAAGTAGGGCAGATGGCACTGTCTATGGGATTTCAGAAGTCTCGGAACTTGTGGCTAGACAGGAGGAAAATGATTCATTTCTACAATGTGTTTATTTGCATTTAAATTCCTAAGTGGGAAACTGTTCCTCTCACACATTTGGAAAGCTCATTTTTCCTTATATGTTGTCTCCTACCCCTACCTCTCATCTAATTTACCAGTACTTTTAGAACTGGTACTAGCATAACATAACCTCAAATTTCATCCCCAAATATGAGAATACTTCTGTCTATTGCCACTCACTCTTCTATGAGGGAGGGAAAGCCAAGTTGACCTCATCAACTAACAAAAAGGAAAAAGCTCTAAGGGGTGAGAACTACTGATGATTAGATTCTACTGGGGGGAGTGGATGGTTCCCCTCTGGTGTCTATTGGCAAAGAGAAAGCAAGGAAGACGCCTGCAGTAGGTGACATGAGGCTGGGCAGAAGACCTCTGAGGTCTTCTTTAAATTCTGGGGGGAATTGTCCATATGCTATATGGGCATATGGACAGCCCCTTCTTCCTATCTGCTCCTTGTTTTTAATATCCTCCTCTAGAAGCTGAGGAAAGATATGTCTCTTAGGTGTCTGCAATAATTAGTTTGATCTAACTGTAATGCTAAGAAGGATCAAACTGTCCCTGACTTTCATGAAGTGGTTCAGGAGCAGAGCAATGCAGAAGAGGCAAACAGGCAGAATAATGTCATGACATGTGTGTGAGGTAGGTGAGTCACTTCTGGATGATCCCTGCTTCCTGAGGAAAACTATTCTTAAGTCCTGTTACACTGCCTTCACTCCAGCTTTCAAGTGAAGCTTACTGCTTACGGATGTATAGTCTTAACATAGAGGCTGAAAGCATGGCTAGTCAAACATGCTACAGAAAGAAGCCAGGCACATAAGGACAAATACTGGATGACCCAACTATAAAAGGTAGCTAAAGTGGTCAAAGTCAGAGATATAGAAAGGAGGATGGTGGCTGCCAGGGGACAGGGGAGCAGGGAATAGGCAATTTGTGTTTAAAGGGTCCAAAGTTTCAGTTGGGGAAGGTGAAAATGTTTTGGAGATAGAATTGTATAACAAAATGAATGCACTTCATAATAAAGAATGGCTAGCTAAAGAAAGAATTAGGGCTAAATCAGAGCTGCTTACCTTTTCTGTGCATTCTCCAAGTGACTTTCTTCCATTTTATGCTCTTTTTTGGCTGTGAAAGAGAAATCATGATTAAAAATATTTTCTTCTGTCGCCTCCTTTGTGTAATCTTACAGCTTCAATTACAACCATTCATTACCGTGGCAGGTTTGAATTCAGGGGTGGGCAGCCTCTAGCACATGTCCTGGCAATAGCACTCAATTTGCTATATCTGCCACCACTGCATTCTTGATAACAGACATAGGTAACAGTGGCCAAATAATTTGTTTTCTCTGGGATACTTTTGAGAGTGATATTAATAATTACATCTGGACAAAGATATAAATTAGGGCAATCCTGGGCAGATCAGGACATGTGGTCACTCTTGTACGTACCATCATATTTCCCCTTACTCTAAACATAATAAATCCAGTAGCATTTGCAGCAGCTCTGCCGCGAGTCACGGGAATCTTGGGCATACTGCCTCCACACCCACAGGCCCCTTTGGTAGTCTAAGGAAGTCTATGGATTCTTTTGTCAGAATAATGTTTTCATAAGGTTACTAAAAAAAATCAATGATACTGAAATACAATTCTGAATCCACAGGTCAAGAACCTGTGTTCTTTCTATAGGATTATCAAGAGGTTTCATTTTGGGGTGTTTCTTATACATATCCTTCTTTACAATCACAAGATATATTATTGTATATGAAAATACCACTCTCACACTTAAAAAATACCCAGAAAAAGAGGAAAGTCGTAACATAAGCTATATAAGCCTTAAGATAACTTTAATTTAGGGCTACAATGATGTAAAATGAATAAAAAAAATCTCATATCTAGGATCTATGCTGTGATACTTCATGAAAGGTAGTAAGGGATTTTGAAACATCACCATTTTATTAAACCTGGTTCTACCATCTGTTTGACTGTGGGCAAGTTGTTTAAGACCAAATGCCTCATTATTGCCTCACCTGTTCGATGAGAATAGCCATAGTGACCATCATGATACAGCTGCTTTAAAGATTTAAGGAGATAATACATGCAGAGTGCTTAGCACATAATGTGTGCTCGATACAGGCCATGGCAGGTATTATTACTACATTACCACAATCTTCCTTATTGATTTTAAAATGTGAATTTTATCAAGTGGCTCCCCTGCTCAAAACCTTCCAATGGCTTGTTTTGCCATCACTCTTGACATAACATCTACAGTCTTCACAATGCTCTAGAAGGCCCTGCACTTAAGTCTGCTCCCTGGCTGCTCCATGGCATCACCTCCTCTTTCCCACACTCCTTCCTTTCCAGCCTTGCTGGCAGCTGGGTCTGGCTTAAGCACACTGAGAGTGCACATTAAAGGCTTTTTGCACTCGCTGTTCCTCCTCTCTGGAATGCCCTGACCACGGTCTGCACGAGTGGGCTCCCTGACAGCACTGAAGTCTCAGATGAAGTATCTCCTTCTTCAGCTTCCCTAAATAAAAGATCATCCCTTGTCACTCAATATCTTCCTATTAACCCTCCATACACCTACCTTCCTTCCATAGACTTCCCACAGCCTCTATCTACCTAACGGACTATTCCTTTCCTGATCTGTTTATCATGCAACAACTGAATGTAAGCTCCAGGCGGGCAGCAGCTTTAGCTAGCTTGCTTTCTGCTGTAGCCTTATTGTAGAAAAGTGGCTATATGTTAATGCAAGTATTTTAGCTTAAAAATGCATATACTGGATAAAGCTCACTTAAAAAGAGATAAACTAGCTTTCCTGAAAAAAACTTTAAGAACATGAACATAACCTAAAGAAGACTGAGACGCTAAAGTTATATACCATTATCTCTAAATGTAGTTCATTATTTCAACTAATAAAAATTATTTTGTTTTGTAGTAAAATGATTCAGCTTTCCTAAGTGTATCATTTTAGGCAGAGTGAAGCCACGACCAGGGCCATCTTGTGCTATGTGACATCCCCCCATACCCTTGGCAAGAATGTCTGTGAATTAGTCTGGTATTTAGCTAATCAGATACTGAGAAGTGACCTGTGTCTCCCCTAGGTTATCAAGTTCCCTCAAACGTGAAACTAGTGATTTGTTCTTTCCCAGTGATTTTAAGTTATGGACATTGCCAAACAGGAGGAAAAACTCCTCTGAGGCCTGAGTGATCATCTTGGACCAGCTCTGATCTCTCAGAGATGGTTTCTAACTGGCTACTTCCAGGCTGTGCTAAGCAGACTGTGGCCAAGCCATAAATGTATATGAACTTAGTGACAAGAAATACCCTATTCAAACTGAATTGAGTATCAGATAAGATTTTGCAATACCTCTGTGAATATATGGTTATCTGGAGAAACAGATTCCAAATGTAAAAAGAGGTATTAAGAGGCAATGCACACTGCAGAAACTGAGGGTTTAGGGAAAAGAGCTTTCAAGAAAATGGGAAGAAATGAGAGATCTAAATTTTGCCCAATTTTCCCATGTACAGATAAAGAAGGCATCTACCCTTGTGGTATGACTTGGAAGCTCTAACAGCCTAAAATATTTCTCCTACCTCAGTGTATAAAATTTTAAACCGTGACACGACACATTTTAAGTCTTCAAAATGCTCCAAGCACAACACAAATACATTACCTGGAAGGACCATGTGTAAAGATTAGAGTCACAAACTCAAATTCTAATACCATCGACAAATAAGGTAATTGTGGGCCAAGTGTAAGAATCCCAGTGTTCTAACATTCTATTTCTAGTTTTTGAATATGGGAACTGATAGCCTTAAAGTGGGGAAGAAAACAGGAAATTGTAGGAAAGTGGGAAGGCTGTGCCCCATTTAGGAGAGGACAGGCACATGGCCTTGTTGCCAGAACTAGTTTTTTAGAGAAACTAGAAAAGTTGTTAAATGAATGTTCCCAATTTAAGTTTTCAAACAATATGACAAAGGGAACAGTCCTGCTGGCCATGTGTAGGTCTGCAGCCTCTGATTTCAGCCTGTAGTAGCTGCTGACGTAATGACATAAGAGGGTATATTCCCTCCTTCCATGTGCTAGACTCTATTCCAAGTGCTTTGGAACCACCAGTGAAGAAAATAAAGGTTCCCATAGAACTTTTGTTACAGTTGGGGAAGACAGATAATCACACCTAAGAGAATAAGAATCAGTGTAAGCAATTTTTGATAAGTGGTAACAACAACAAAACCGAAAAAACCCATCCGGAGCACAGACGAAGGCCTATAGATGGAAGCCCATGAGTTACTGAATCAGGCGTGCCAGGGCAGCCGCAGCGTGTCCCACTGGGACTCGGCACAAAAAGGGCAAAGACAGTATTTAAAGATGACAAGTCTAAGATGAAAACTGTCCTTTGACTAGGAGTGGCTCAAATCTATATGCAAAATTTACATAGTCTTCCATTCTACAAAGCCACATAAATAGTATTTAGATGCTTCGTTTTTCTTTTTTTGAGACAAGGTCTCACTTTGTCACCCAGACTCAAGTGCAAAGGCATGATCACAGCTCAATGCAGCCTCAAACTCCTAGGATCAAGTAATCCTCCCACCTCAGCCTCTTGAGTAGCTGAGACTACAGGCATGCAACACTGTGCCTGGTTAATTTTATTTTTTATATCAAAACATGTATGTATGTATATACACATCATCTTTGACCTGATTAACTGGATCACTGCCCCAGTCCCCCAAAAAACATAATGATACAGAAGTCTGTTTTTAAGACGTAAGTTTTCTGAGAGCTAAGATTCCTTCTTTGACCTTTAGGCTCTATATGGTGACATGTTACAGGTTCCCCTCATTGCACAGTAAATTCACTTCTCTTCGTTGCCACCCAAACTGCCGTCTTAAAAGGCAAACTATGCCCACATAAGTGAACTATGCCCCCTTTGTGCTTCATGTTCTCATTGGTTCCTCCTCTGAAGACAGTGCAATTTGCAGTTCACCGTGAACCCTACACACCTGCCTCCTGCAGTCCGCATACCTGCGTCCCAAGTGCTCCAGCTGGGTGGGACTTGTGGCTGTTCTCTGGATTCAGTTTGTTCTAACGCCGTCTCTTCCTTGCCTTTCTCCCTTCTGCTACACTTCTGTTTGAATGTCTTTTTTTTTTTCCCCCCCCCCGAAAACCAAGCTTCGGAATCTCCACCTCTCCCCCATAAAGTGGTGAGCCTTTCTTTCTGTGGAGCTCCAACCACACTTGCTCCACACGACTCCTTATCACAGCAAACAATGCTATCAAGATCACTGGCTTGCAGCTGGCTTTTCCCACTGGACTCTGCTCCTTCAGAGTCGCAAACAAAATGTTTCAGAGCCTTTCTTTCAACTATCAGCTAGCAGGCATTCGTGGACTTATTTTTTTTTTTTTTTGCTTTTGAGACAGGATCTTATCCTGCCACCCAGGCTACGATGCCATGGCGCAATCTCAGCTCACTCCAACCTCTGTTTTCGGGGTTGAAGTGATTCTCCAGCCTAGGCCTCCTGAGTAGCTGGAATTATAGGTGTGCAACTTTTGTATTTTTAGTAGACATGGGGTTTCACCATGTTGGCCAGGCTGGTCTCGAACTCCTTACCTTGAGTTAGCTGCCTGGCTCAGCCTCCCAAAATGCTGGGATTACAGACATGAGCCACTGCGCCCGGCTTCATGTACTTACTTGACAAATAGAAAAGTAGACAACAGAGGAACCCATGATAACAGAACACAGTCCCTAGTCATTGTGCCCATTTTTTTGGCACAGCAATTTTTAATCGTCCATTTTTTGTTTGCAACAAAATAGGAAAGAGTGGAAATGAAAACCAAGAATACTAAGACCATCCTATGTCCTGTTTTTAGATTGATACACTAACACGGGCACAAATAACACTTACACTATAGGGAGGCACAATAGCATTAACCTCGAGTTTCATCTGTATCAGATTGAGTCTTTAAAATACACTATTTTCCAGAGTTAACTTTGGAAAAGAAAGTTTTTATAAAGGACATTTCCATAAAATACTCAGACTGAAAACATTCACCACTTAAATGTCCCCAAATATTCTAAGTTTTTCTTCTCAACAGTGTGGCATTCATACAATGAGTGGCTGAAGGAGGAGGCCACTCTTCAAAGAAAGTGGGGCTTTTATGCCAAACACAATTAAGTCATATTTATGGATGCCCATCTGGGAGGCAGTAAATTGTGAAATGAGGGGAAGGGATGAATATCTTCCTAGTATTCTTTACACAGTCTATTACACTTTAATATACCATGGTTTATGGACCTGACATGGTTGGTATAAACCAACAGGATGCACAGTAAAGAAGTTGTTTTTATTATAGCTCTACAAATAGAGGAGCTGGGTGATGCTAACGAGGAAACAAAGGGACTCCGCTCTGCTTCATGTGGCATCCATCTGATATGAGTGGGGCAGTCATTTTCCATTTCTTAGAAAATCCCACTGTTGTGCACTTTCCAGGAGAAACAAATGTTCTACAACAACAGAGGCACAGCACACTGACATTGGAAAGGGATGGCCTTTTAGCATTTCAGAGAAGAAAAATACAGATATTTGGAACCAGTGAGGGATGCAGAGCTCTTAACCTTATATTTTTCCTCCTGGTATGCTTGCCCATGGAGGACAATATCATCTCTGGTCTTCCTAAGTTAGTAGTTTTCCTGGTTTTGCTTAAATTAGAAGAATGATCATTTCTGGTCTGTCCGAGCTTACATTTGCAAATGTCTAAGCTGGATGGTAAAGCTGAAGAGAAGGGGGCCATTTGTGAGATTTTCTATATAAAGTGGTATGAGGTTGCATAAAGCCATGATGCCAAGGTTCCTAGTGTAGGGTGTAAGGTTTCCAGGTCACTTGCCTAAGGCTAAAGTGGACTAGGAAACTAGGCTTTCAGTAAAAGTATCAAGTAAAGGACATTGTATCACTAGACTCTGAAGAGGTCTTTAGAGTCACAAAATTTAAAAAATCCAGACAAAAGGAGTCTTCAAATAGTCATCTCGTCTACCCAGGCTGATATTCTAGCCTAGATCCTCTTGTCTTTTCCATTTTATTTTTATTTTTGAGATGGAGTCTCGCTCTGTCGCTGAGGCTGGATGGAGTGCAGTGGCACAATCTTGGCTCACTGCAACCTCTGCCTCTTGAGTTTAAGCCATTCTCCTGCCTCAGCCTTCCAAGCAGCTGGGATTATTAGCTACCATGCCTGGCTAATTATTGTATAGTTTGGTAGAGTTAGTGTTTTGCCATGTTGGCCAGGCTGGTCTCAAACTCCTAACCTCAAGTGATCAACCCGCCTTGGCCTCTCAAAGTGCTGTGATTACAGGTATGAGCCACCACACCTGGCCTTTTTCATCATTTTAATGTACCATTTCCACTTGGCCCTTATGTGAATTTAAGTATTTTATGGACATCAAAAACAAAATGGCATTGCCTAACTTGGGCATGTGGGGCTGTTCTCAGCCGGGGTCCTTCACCTGAACTGCAGAACACAGAAAAGGATTAGAGCAGCTATTTTCTCAATTTCCGCATACACACATCACTGGTAACATTCTAAATGTCTAGGACAATGCCAACCCACTACACACAATGCTGGAGTTAGGGTAGTATGACTTAATTCCCTTACAAATATTTGAAAATGCCTGAGGCAATCAAACTTACAAGTGACTTAAAACAGTAAGTCATTTACACTTTCAGACAGGTTGAGTGTCCCTTATCTGAAATGCTTGATGCCAGAATTGTTTCAAATTTCAATTTTTGTCCCTAATATTTTGGGATACTTGCATATACAAAATGTAATATATTG